CCACAAACGCGGAGCTGGTAACTTCCAGAATCGGCGCCAAAGTAGTTTCCCTCGATGGTTGCTCAAGCAAGGAATCTCAGCTGCGTAGATATCCCACGGTGTTGGGTTAGGACATCTGGGAATGTTGGGGCTATTCCCAAATAATCCTCTCCCATTTCCAAATGAGTATTGCTGACAGCCAATCCAGTATGACCTTATGCACGTCCAGTTTAGCACGGAGGCCATCGGTAGGCATCGGTGTCTGGCGCACATATTGGGATAGGTCTTCTGGTGCCATCATGCGTTGTCTGTTGCTGTCCTTGAAGTAGCATTGATGTCGAAGATGTCTCAGCTACCCAGCATCAGTGTTGAAGTCTGCTCCATTTCGGCAAACAGGGGTGTTGTTGGAGATACGCGGAGTCCACTATCCGGAGTGGCGTCGGCGCTCCATTTCACGCCTATCTGCTTTCGTGGAGTTGGTGCTGCTGATGGATTGGTTGTGACGCAGGTTTTATGACTTTAAGGAAAGCCATAGGCCATGAGGACTTGTATACCAGTAGAGTACCGTGGTCCTCCCATCCCCATAAGAGCAAATATCTTCTGCTCTTGAGGGTATATGGCATTGCCATGTTGTTTCCTCGCATAGTGGTATCTCCTTCCCACTAGCTGGAAATCATAGTACTGTGCCTGGCCGGGACTTTACGATCCACTGGAATATAATCCAGCATTATCTCCATTGAGCGGAGAATCATCCATCAGGATTTGGTTGTGACTGTTGTGTGGAGTCTTCTGCTGCGGCGGCGGCGGCGGTAGCGACGACGGCGACGGCGGCAGCTGCTGCAGAGAATTCTCTTAACTCGTACCGGTTGAAGGAGAATCCATCAACTCCCCCTTCCCAGTAGAGTGTACCTGATGGGTGTAACAGACGTAACTACCAGGAACACGTGCACATTGGTACACATGTGTTGCTCCATTGCTGCCGGTGATTGTTTCATTTGAGGGTGTGAAGAGAAATTTGCTTCTCCCCTCGATGTATCCACGGGTAGCAATTCCTGGTATGCTCATCCGTGCCTCCGATGTACGGTCGGTAGAGCGCGTGATCGTGTTGTAGTAGTCCGCATCTCCCTCATTTGTTGACACCTCGTGTTGCTTGACGTTCTCCTGCATCGTCGAAGTTACGTTGGTGCTTGTAATGCTTCGGCTTCTGGTAGAATCGCCTCCAATGCATGTGCCGTAGGGTCGCTAGTGAACGAGTACTTGCCGGATTAGAGGTTAATTACTCCTCAATCTGTCAAGCATCGTGACATGCACGGAATTTTCTTCCACGCAGGTCATTAACACCTGGAATCGCGACGCATGATTGGTGTGTCGCCTAGTGAGGTCGATGTTGAGACTGCTCCAATCAATCACTTCGGATGGCTGAGATTCTTGATGAAGACGAATCGTTCAGCTCCTGTTACGAAGTAGTGTCTCGCTGGCCTTGACGAGACGGGTTCACTGCGTCGTCGTTGCGTGCGAAATCTGCTCCTTCGCAGCAACTTGAACTTGGGAGCATTGCAAAACGGCTACTTCTCTGCAATCCCATAGGTTGTCGATCAATTTGTATGAAGAAGTGTCTCGTGGATGGAGAACATGTCTTCACGCAGCTCCATTGTTTTTCCTGGGTGAAGATCTCACTGTGTTGATGTCGATCCATTTTTAACGAAGATGACTTCGTCAAAATAACTCGATCGTTATCCACACCAGTCAGAAGATGCGTCGATTGTGCAGTCGCTGGTCACGAATGTTGTCTCCATGATGATGATTTCCCATAGTGTAGTCTTCGCTGCATTCGTGCCGTTGATTCCGCACGATCCGACGATCCACGTTCTCCCGTCAGTTTTCTGCATGCAGATATTACCAAGTAGGTAATACTCTGGCAGATTTCTGACTTCGCAGACGATTTGTGCGCCAAATTCGTCACCAAATGAAGAAATTCGAATCTGGTTGTCCAGATGTTGTCAACGATGTTGAAGCCGGCCAATTTCTGGTTCTGTGCGTCATTCTCCCTTCGTGCAGAAATCGTGCTCCATCTCGTCCGTTGAAGTAGAAGTCGATCCGACGGTCCAAACTCCAAGCGATCTGAGGATACTCCTGAGACGCGTTTAGCACCTCTCGGTGCGCGGGTCGACTCGTTTCCTGCAGCAATTTTCGGTCGTCGATGTCGGCTGTCGATCGATCCAACGCTCCGAAGAATTTCGCAGCTTGCGAGGTCCCGTTCCCATTCGCGCTGAAACTCGAACTCGCTCAGACAGGTTTCGTTTTCGCCTCGGTTGATCTGAAGCGTCGAATCTCCATCGGACGGATGTCGTCGGTCGAACCTCCGCAGAGTTCCGCGCAACTCCAAGTGTTGTCGCGAACTGCGAACTTCTCCGAATGTCGCAGGGAGTGTTCCGCCGGAACTGACGCGCTCGCCAGGTGGAGGCCGTTTGCCCCCGCGAAAAATCGGCACCGTCGATGCAGTCCATCGAACGGTTGGCGAGGCGTCTCGCCTTCGAAGGGGACCCCAGGTGCAACTGCGAGAGGAACGTCGAAACTTAAATGAAAGTGCATTGTACTTACAGGAATTGAAGTTTCGACTCCATCCTCCGCGTGCTCCTGGGGGCCCAGCGGTTAAGCGTTGAGCTGAAACCTTGGCTCTGATTACCAAGTGTCACAGGATCGAATGTCCCGAGGAAAGGTTTGCTCAATGTTGCACTATCAATCAGTACAAGGTGCTTTTATACTTCCAGAATACATCAGGTAACCAGGCTTATCCTATCCAAAGGGAATAGACCCTTCTAGAAATAGAATCACCCTGCGTATAGCCACGCGAGGCTATTGGCTTTAAGGGATTACGGCAGGATTACGCTAGATATAGCGCGCCAGTACATCCCGAGCCTGGTCGATGATATAATCATAATAATAGGATAAATCAAAGGATAATGGAAAAGGAGGAATAGGAAACCAAATGAGATGAGATAAAGACCAAATGAATGAGGATAAAAAGAGGAATGAAATAGAAAGGAAATATGGAAAGGGGAAAATAGTGTAACGGGGTCGTACTCTCACAATCTCAGTCTCACAGTTAGACTGTGCAACAGACGACGAGCGGGTGGACCTCCACGAGATGGCGCCTGCACCAAGGCTAAAGCAGTAGCCCTGGGAGGACCTGAGTGTCTTAGCGTCGGCTGCCCACGAAGCGTCTGTGTGCCATGTAAGGACCACTGGCCTGCGTCCTCCTAGCACTAGCCCCATACCCAATGTACTTGCTAGAAAACGCAAAACCCTCTTAGAAGCCGCCCAGTGCTGAGGTCGGTGTCTGCCTGTGGCCACAAAGCGAGCTAGGATACTGAGAGGGTATGCGAGATCTGGACGAGTGCAAGTCATCAGGTACATCAGGCAACCCACCAGCTCTGCGTAAGGACCACTAGGCTCTACAGAATCCTTACGGATTGGAGCCGAGAGCCTGTAATCTACCGGCAGAGGTATAGGCTGTGCGGAGGAGAACTGAAGACCGAACCTCTGAAGGACCTGGCGCACCAAGTGTGATTGTGTAAGAGTGATGATGCGCACTTCTCTGTCTCTGGAGATTTGCAGGCCAAGGTAGCAGTATAGCTCTCCTAGGTCAGTGCAGGTGTGTCTCCTCAGCAGCTCAGCTTTCACGGAGGTCAGTGCATCTCTGTCTGCAGTAGCAAAGACTAGGTCGCCTACGTAGACAAGGATGTACATTAGAATGGAATCTGGCCAGAACAAACGAAGATCGAGGGGTCTAAAGATGACAGAAAGAAATGCAGGTCAGCTAACGTAGCATGCAGCATATTGTGCCACTCACGGGGTGCCTGCCGCATGCTGTAAACCGGGCACCGGAGGAGCCATCCGGCACCAGGGGCAAGAATGCCAGTGAAGTCAGGCGGACGGCGCTGGTAGACCTGCTCGTGCAGAATGCCCTGGTGAAACGCGATGGAGAAGTGGACAGAGTGCAGCTCGTAGTTACGCTGTGCTGCTACGTGTAGCAGCGCCCGAAGAGTGGTCATCTTCGGGGTCCAAAACGAAGGTTTGAAAGAAGTCAACACCCTCACGCTGACTGAAGCCTCTAGCAATGTAGCGCGCCTTGAATAATGGCAGCTCTACAAGAGGGCGCTTCACCTTGAAGAGCCACCAGCCATCGACTACGTTCACCCCAGGTGGGGGAACTGCGTCGACGTAGGTGCCGATGGATCTCCAATATGCCATCTCTGCATCCATGGCAGCTATCCACTGAGAAGCCAAGGGTCCCGAGGTCGCGTCATCGTAAGTGCGAGGGGTCGAGATGTCAAGGGCATCTGGATCACCCTCAGGGACTAGCAGCATGGAGCAGAGATGAGGAGCGGCCTCGAACAGGAAATCAAGCTCGTACTGCCGGTCCTCCAGGATGTCACTGCCAAGGGCAGGAGCACCCCCGACGGATGGAGGACGGGCAGGTTCAGAGACCAGAGCGGTGGCGTAGTCAAGGCAGCAAGCGCAGAGAGACTAGAGACAGGAACATACGAGTCGATAACTAGGGAGGCAAGGACCCGAGGAACAAGAGGAATAGCTGCACGAAGGAAGTCAGACAGAGGAGGCAGAGTGAAAACAAGCGACGACAGAGGAGGCAACGGGAGGAGGGGAGGACGAAACGCGTGGGAACAAGGCAATATAGAGTGAGAATGCGGACCAAGAGAGACAGGACGAGCATGAGAGGCACGGCGAGACCACCAGCGGAAGGGTGGGGTCAGGTCAGGAGAGAATGATGGAGAAACAAGAGGAGAATGAGGGGCCAAGCGAGCCACAGACGAATCCGGCGGAGGAAACACAGGGCCGTAGATGGGCGAGGGAGGCGGCGGCGGGGGAGGCGCACCACTGCTACTGCTGCTGCTCCGCGCCAACACCAAGACCACCAACTACACCATGGCTACCTCCGGGATGCTCCACTCCAATACCCCAAGAACGAGCACCCTCTCTAACACCGGTGCCACCCCCAGGACCGCCGAGATGAGCCACGATAGTAACCCCAGGACTAGCACCCCCAGAACGAGAACCCTCTCCAGCACCGGTGCCACCCCCAGGACCGCCAAGACAAGCCACGACTATAAGAGTACGACCCCGTTACACCACTTGTCCCTTTCTTTATTTCCTTCATATTTCATTTCTCTTTTTATCCCATCTCATTTGGTTTCCTATTCTCCATTTTCCATTATCATTTGGTTTATCCTGCTATTATAATTATATCATCGACCAGGGTTGGGATGTACTAGCGCGCTATATCTAGCGTAATCTTGCCGTAATCCCTTAAAGCCAATAGCCTCGCATGGCTATACGCAGGGTGATTCTATATTCTAGAAGGGTCTATTCCCCTTGGATAGGATAAACCTGGTTACCTGATGTACAATGGAAGTATAAAAGCACCTTGTACCAATCGATAGTGCAATCTTTCCTCGAGACATTCGATCCTGTAACACTTGGTAATCGGAGCTTTTCTCACTCGACCGCGCTCAGCAAAGCAGCAGTAGCGGGAAAACCTGCCTCGAAAAACCGCCGGGGGTGACGAATTCGACGCCGATTCTGGTAAGCACCAGCTCTGCGTTTTGTGAATTACCCCCCCTGCGCGTGTTTTGAACAGGATGGCAACCCTCGACAACGCCGAGGTTACCCAGCAGCTCTTCGCGAGCATCGCCGCTCTTTAGGAGGAGATGCGAGTGGACCACGAGGCGTGGTGAAACGAGTTCGAGCGAGTAACTCGACTCGCCGGAGTGCAGCACGACTCGACAACGGCGACGACGCAGCAGTTTCTCGAGGCTCCGAAACCGCGCCCACCTGAGCCGTTTGATCCGAGCGATCGAAACTTCGACGCCCGCAAATGGATCGCCGGGATGGAGATCTACTTCGCAGCCGTCGAATGGAGCTCGCCAGTCTGGGACGGTCAACGCGTACAATTCGCGGCGACGCTGATGCGAGGACCGGCACTCGAGTTGATTGGCGGCAACAGCACCTTTATCCACGGTGAAGCCACGTGGCAGCAGTTCCGCGCCGACCTGCTGAAACGCTTCGTGCCGATAAATTCTGGTTTCCTTGCCGGGGAAAAAATTCATCGACATCGACAGTTCGGGAGTGTAGCGCAGTACACGCAGCAGATGGAAGATTTTTATAACCGTATTCCCGACCTGACCGAAGGGGAAAAAGTACAGTCTTACCTCGCCGGGCTGAAGACCAAAGTCAAACTACGCGAGCTACAGTGACGTCATTTCGGCAGCGGAGCACTTCGACATGGTCAACGCCGGGACACGACAGACGCACGTCGGCAGTACGCGACAGGGCAACCGCTCGGCTCACACCACGTTCACCGACCCGATGGAAATCGACAGGTTCGACGGGCGGCCACGTCCGAAAAACACCAACTACACGTGTGATTTTTGTGGGGTGCTGGGCCATCGAATCTTCGACTGCAACAAAATGAAAGCCGCACGCGCAGAGTATCGGGCATGCAACAGTGGCGGAAATGCTTCGGCCAATCAGAAGACAAAAAACGGGAGTCGCCCGTGATTGCGGATCTAGCTGGCGAAAAAGAAAAGATCAGGAAGTGGCCGCGGGATCCCAGAAAAATCAACTTCGACGAAGCTGATTCGACGCGAGCAGGAGGAAATGATGGGGGAAAATCTCCACCCCACGACCAGTCTTGGGGGAAAAATTAACGAGTGTGGAAAGAAGCCGACCTTTCCACGGAGTCAACGTCCTCTCCCGACACCAGCCCACAATGACTACCCGCTCCCCAGGGAAGACGTCGGTGGAGCTGAAGCAGCTCAAGAGGAAGCTGGGGGTCTACAAGAAGCTGTAAAAACCCCAAACTCCTCCTCCGGATGCATCTAGTTCAGCAACTTTGGCATCAATACAGCGCACAGTCGTCAAAGAAACTCCGGGCCCTGGAGAAGAGCCGTTCTCCAAGCAGCCTCAGCAAGCTGCCCGCTTAGGAGTAGATAGCAACAAAAAGGTGTGCACGGACTACTGGGATGTACCCTATGACCCTGTTAATGAAACTATCTTTGGGTACTCCGAGCAACGCCCGCCGATCGTGCTCGAGGACATCTGCAAAGGACGACACCTCCAAGCACTCGTGGACAGCGGAGCATCGCACACCGTCTGCGACAAGGCAGTAATCGACCAACTTCGGGAAGAGTACAAGCCTTCAGGATTCTCTGCAACGATGGTGGACGGCAGCAAGTTACCAGTACACGGCGAAGCAGTGCTACATCTACAAATTGGACCACTGCGCTGGAGACCTGCACTCCCCATCACCAACATCAAAGGGCTTGACTTGATCTTCGGGCGAGACTTCCTGAAAAGATTCAACCCCGAGATCAACTGGGTGAACCGCACCGCAAGCATCTACAACAATGGACGGAGAGTATAGCTACCCAACTGGGACGATACTGGAGATATCCCAGTGGAGACACTCGCACGATTCGAGAAGGACGTGAAGCGGACCGACACCGGGTTCCTGGCGATAGCAACAGAGGTGGAGAATGACGGAGAGAAAGCCTCGGAAACTCCAGAAAAAATCAAGGAATTACTGAAGGAGTTCCAAGACATTCTTCCTGACGATCTTCCGAACGAGCTACCGCCATACCGAACGCATCAACACGAGATCGTGGAGGAACCGGGTTCGAAGCCGACCTTCCGAGCACCATACCGGCTCAGCCCTACGGAGCTGACCGACATGAAGAAGCAGATCGAGTATCTCCTAGCCAAAGGACTCATCCGACCATCTACTTCGCCATACGGTGCCCCAGTACTCTTCACACCGAAACCGGACGGAAGCCTGCGCATGTGCATCGACTACCGAGCTCTTAACAAGCAGACCATCAAGAATAAATATCCGATACCGCGAATCGATGACCTGCTTGACCAGCTTCGGGGAGCTACGGTATTTTCCAAACTGGATCTGCGGTCCGGATACTGGCAGATACGGATGGCGGACAACTCTATCCATAAAACTGCTTTTCGAACTCGGTACGGATCATACGAGTATTTGGTCATGCCGTTCGGACTCACCAACGCACCGGCAACGTTCCAAGCCGAAATGAACCACATTCTACGACCACTTCTGGACGAATGCGTGGTGGTGTACCTGGACGACATACTCATCTACTCGCGCGACATGAAGCAGCACGTCGAACACCTGCGACGCGTCTTCGAAATTCTTCGACGGGAACGATTCTACGTCAAACTGTCCAAGAGCGAATTCGCCCTGGAGAAAGTCCAATTTCTAGGACACTTGGTGAGCGCTCAAGGAGTTCACGTCGACCCCAAGAAAGTCGAAGCCGTACGTACGTGGAAGACACCCGAGAACGTGAAGGAGTTGCAGCAGTTCCTAGGCTTCGCTAATTACTACAACAGGTTCGTGCCACAGTATGCGAAACTCGCGGCACCACTCACGAATCTGTTGAAGAAGAACACGCCCTACAAATGGGAGACGAAGCACCAGGAAGCCGTGGAGCAGCTGAAACAAGCACTAACGTCCGCACCGGTGCTCATCTTGCCAGATCCCGAACGTGACTACGTGATCGAAGCTGACGCCAGCGACCAGGCAGTGGGAGCAGTCTTGATGCAAGACCAGGGGAATGGACTGCAACCAATTGCCTACCTCAGCAAGAAACTGCACGGGGCAGAACTCAACTACCCGATACACGACAAAGAGGCTCTTGCTATCATCATCGCCTTCAAAGCGTGGAGATGCTATCTCGAAGGACGAAGAACGACCGTCTACACCGACCACTGCAGCCTGAAATATTTGAAGACACAACCCAACCTTTCCAGGCGGCAGGTCCGGTGGATCGACTTCCTCGAGACACACTTCCACTACGACATCGTGTACAAGCCCGGCCACAAGAACAAAGCAGACGCTCTCAGCCGGCCTGCACACGTTGCCGCGATTCAGGTCGAAGGGATGAATCCACTACTCAAGGGACTCTTCACCCACGGGTACGCCATCGACCCCGAAATTTCCTTGGCAGAAAAACGACATCTACTACAGTGGGACAGTGACATCGCGTACCGGAAAGGATCAACAAAAATCTGGGTACCCAATTACCCTCCTTTGCGCCAGTTACTACTCGAAGAATACCACGACGTCCTGTACGCCGGACACTTCGGTAGCAACAAGACGCTCACCGGTATCGCCAAACACTACTACTGGCCCCATATGGCAGACGACGTCCAGAAATTCGTCACCTCGTGTGATACATGTCAGCGGATGAAGAGCAGCAAGCAGAAAAAGGCGGGACTACTGCAGCCTCTTCCTGTCCCAGAACAACCATGGCAAGTGGTTAGCCTGGACTTCATTACCGGGTTACCACCTACCTCCAGCGGTCATGACGCCATCCTTGTCGTCATTGACAAGTTCTCCAAAATGGGACACTTCATCCCGACACACACGACGGCACGCACCGAGGAGACAGCACAACTCTTCGTTCGTCACATCATCTCACAGCATGGCATCCCAACTACACTTATCTCCGACCGAGACCCCAAGTTCACTAGCAAGTTCTGGAAGGAACTTATGTCTCTGCTCGGCACCAAACTCGCCATGTCATCCGCATACCATCCGCAGACAGACGGACAGACCGAGCGCCTCAACCAAATTGTTGAGCAACTCCTCCGAGCATCCTGCAAGGACGACATCTCCAAATGGGACTTGCACCTACCCGTCCTGGAGTTTGCCTACAACAACGCTACACACGCCGCTACGGGACAGACGCCGTTCTTCCTCTGCTACGGACGCCACCCACTCACACCACAGAAACCGACAACATCAGCAACAGTCCAACCTGCACACGACTTCATCACAACCATGCATCAACTTTGGGATCGGACCCATAAGCGCCTTCTTGACATTCAACAGCAACAGAAGCGCCAGGCCGATCGCCATCGCAACGACCACACCATTTCCGTGGGAGACCAGGTGCTCCTCGACACCCGCAACCTGGACATCAGCCATCTCCCATCTAAACTTCGACCTCGCTTCTGCGGGCCTTTCCTCGTTGAAGCACAGGTCACTCCTGTTACCTTCCGCTTACGCCTACCAGCTACCTGGAAGATTCACAACGCCTTCCATGTCCAACTTCTGAAGCCCTATCGAGATCCTAATACGATCTTCGTCGGACGCCAACCGCCGCCGCCGCCACCCGTCCTCGTCCAAAATGAACCCGAGTACGAGGTCGAGTCCGTGCTCGCACACCGCCGTCGTCGGAATGGCACCGTGGAGCTTCTTATCCGTTGGAAGGGTTATGATCCTTCTGAGGACAGCTGGGTACCTGAGTCCGACATGGGTAACGCCCGTCGTCCTCTGCATGACTACCTTGTCAAGCAGGGTGTTACTTCTACCACCCAGCTTTGAGGGGGGGAAGTGTGAGAGTACGACTCCGTTACACCACTTGGCCTTTTCCATATTTCATCTTCATTTCATTCCTCTTTTTATCTCATCTCCTTTTGCCTCATATTCCCCATTTTCCATTATCCTTTGGTTTCTTCCCTTATTATAATTATATCACCGACCAAGCATGGAATGTTCTAGACACGCTATCTAGCGTAATCCTGTCGTAATCTCTTAAAGCCAATAGCCTCGCGTGGCTATACGCAGGGTGATTCTATCTTCTAGAAGGGTCGATTCCTTTAGATAGGATAAACCTGGTTACTTGATGTACTCTGGAAGTATAAAAGCGCCTTGTACTGATCGATAGTGCAACCTTTCCTCGACACATTCGATCCTGTGACAAGTGCATGGTGGTGTACTTGGACGACATCCTCATCTACTCGCGTGACATGAAGCAGCATGCCGAACACCTGCGCCGCTTCTTTGACATTCTTCGACGATAATGATTCTACGTCAAACTGTCCAAGAGCGAATTCGCCCTTGAGAAGGTCCAATTCCTAGGTCACATGGTGAGCGCTCAAGCAGTTCACATCGACCCCAAGAAAATCGAAGCCGTACGTACTTGGAAGACACCCGAGAACGTGAAGGAGTTGCAGCAGTTCCTCGACTTCGCTAATTACTACAACAGATTCGTGCCACAGTATGCGAAACTCGCAGCACCACTCACGAATCTGCTGAAGAAGAACACGTCCTATAAATGGGAGGTGAAACACCAGGAAGCCGTGGAGCAGCTAAAACAAGCACTCACGTCCGCAACAGTACTCATCTTGCCAGATCCCGAATGCGACTACGTTATCGAAGCTGACGCCAGCGACCAGGCAGTAGGAGCAGTCTTGATGCAAGACCAAGGGAATGGACTTCAACCAATCGCCTACCTCGGCAAGAGTTACACGGGGCAGAACTAAACTACCCGATACACGACAAAGAGGCCCTTGCTATTGTCATCGCCTTCAAAACGTGGAGATGTTATCTCAAAGGACGACGAACAACTGTCTACACCGACCACTATAGCCTGAAATATTTGAAGACAACCCAACCTTTCCAGGCGACAGGTCCGGTGGATTGACTTCCCTGAGACACACTTCCACTACGACATCGTGTACAAGCCCGGCCACAAATGCAAAGCGGACGCCCTCAGCCGGCCTGCACACGTTGCCGCCATCCAGCTTGAAGGGATGAATCCACTACTTAAGGGACTCTTCACACACGGATACACCATCGACCCCGAAATCCCCATTGGCAGAAAAGCGACACCTGCTACAGTGGGATAGTGACATTGCGTACCAGAAAGGATCAACGAAAATCTCGATACCCAATTACCCTCCATTGCACCAGTTACTATTCGAAGAATACCACGACGTCCTATACGCTGGATACTTCGGTAGCAACAAGACGCTGACCGGTATCGCAAAGCACTACTACTGGCCCCACTTGGCAGAAGATGTTCAAAAATTCGTCACCTCGTGTGATACATGTCAGCGGATAAAGAGCAGCAAGCAGAAGAAGGTAGGACTGCTACAGCCTCTTCCTGTCCCAGAACAACCATGGCAAGTGGTTAGCCTGGATTTCATCACCGGGTTACCACCTACCAGCGGAGGACATGACGCAATCCTTGTCGTCATCGACAAGTTCTCCAAAATGGGACACTTCATCCTGACACACACGACAGCACGCACCGAAGACACAGCACAACTCTTCGTTTGCTACATCATCTCACAACATGGCATTCCAACCACACTCATCTCCGACCGAGACCCTAAGTTCACCAGCAAGTTCTGGAAGGAACTAATGTCTCTGCTCGGGACCAAACTCGCCATGTCATCCGCCTACCATCCGCAGACGGACGAACAGACCGAGCGCCTCAACCAAATTGTTAAGCAACTCCTCCGAGCAGCCTGCGAGGACGAGATCTCCAAATGGGACTTGCACCTGCCATACTTAGAGTTTGCTTACAACAATGCTACACATGCCACTACTGGACAGATGCCGTTCTTCCTCAGCTACGGACGCCACGCACTCACACCACAGTAACCGACAACATCAGCAACAGTCCAACCGGCACATGACTTCATCACAACCATGCATCAGCTTTGGGATCGGACCCACAAGCGCCTCCTTGACATTCAGCAGCAACAGAAGCGCCAGGCCGATCATCATCGCAACGACCACACCATCACCATGGGAGAACAGGTGTTTCTCGACACCCGCAACCTTGACATCAGCCATCTCCCATCCAAACTTCGACCTCGCTTCTGCGGGCCTTTCCTCGTTGAAGCACAAGTCACTCCTGTTACCTTCCGCTTACGCCTACCAGCAACCTGGAAGATTCACAATGCCTTCCATGTCCAACTTCTGAAGCCCTATCAGGATCCCAACACAATCTTTGTCGGACGCCAACCGCCGCCGCCGCCGCCCGTCCTCGTCCAGACTGAACCCGAGTACGAGGTCGAGTCCGTGCTTGCACACCGCCGTCGTCGGAATGGTACCGTGGAGCTTCTTATTCGTTGGAAGGGTTATGATCCTTCTGAGGACAGCTGGGTCCTTGAGACCGACATGGGTAACGCCCGTCGTCCTCATCATGACTACCTTGTCAAGCAGGGTGTTACTTCTACCACCTAGCTTTGAGGGGGGGAAGTGTGAGTGTACGACCCCGTTACACCACTTGTCCCTTTCCTTATTTCCTTCCTATTTCGTTTCTGTTTTTATCCCATCTCATTTGGTTTCCTATTCTTCATTTTCCATTATCCTTTGGTTTATCCTGCTATTATAACTATATCACCGACCAGGCTTGGGATGTACTAGCGCGCTATATCTAGCGTAATCCTGCCGTAATCCCTTAAAGCCAATAGCCTCGCGTGGCTATATGCAGGGTGATTCTATATTCTAGAAGGGTCTATTCCCTTTGGATAGGATAAACCTGGTTACCTGATGTACTCTGGAAGTATAAAAGCACCTTGTACCAATCGATAGTGCAATCTTTCCTCGAGACATTCGATCCTGTGACAACGACAGTAACCCCAGGACTGGCACCCTCCTCAACGCCAACACCTCTAGATCTCGCGGACCCCTGCGATGACTGCGGCTGTGGCGATTGCGACTGCGGCTGTGGCTGCAGCGACAGCGACTGCGGCTGCTACTGCGGCGGCGACGGCGGTGGCTGCCACGATGGCGGAGAAGGAGACACCGGGGTGGAAACAGGCGGCGAGAACGGAGCCGCATGACCCCCATAGTTAGCTGACTCCTCTACGGGGACAACCGACGGGAGGGGAGTGACGTGAGACACACCAAACAAGGTAGGATGGGGAGGAAGAGAAGCAGGGGCTACCGGAGGAGTGGGGACCAAGAACAGGGGCGGGGCAACTGGGAGACCTTGGTGGGGAAAACGGGTGTAGAAGAAGACAGACTCGAAAAAAGAAACGTCACGAGAGTAAAAGAAACAGTAAGATGGCGGGTGGTAAAAGTGCCAGTAAGACGCGTCGAGGGGGAATCCAAGGAAGACACAGCGTACCCTAATACTGTCCGCCCTGCCTTTTATTGCTATTGAGGTCCCATCGACTAGTCGGGCATCAGTCTCCGGTAGAGACCTATCTGAGGGTAACATCATTTTTTTGGCCGTGGTGAGGTTGATCAAACTGTGGCTGGCTCCCCCGTCCACGAAGATTTTAAAAAATCCCCCTTGAACCCTACCCTCTAAATAGATGGGGTAATCCGCCGCTGCACCCTCCTTATTCAACTGAGTTTGGTCGATTGCGTGGATCGGTACCAGTACTCGACAAGGGTTATCGGTTACGGGCGAGCATGTTCCATCAGTAGTAGGCCCGTTAACTACTGTCACTAAGCATTTCACTAATCGCTAGAACTCCCGTGCCCATGATTCCGCTTCTTCCGCTCCTCTGAGTATTTTGACTTGCGGTGTCCTGGTCTGTTACATCCGAAATAGCGATCCTTGAAGGCTGTAACTACTGAGTTCAATGTTGTAACAGTGTGTACAGTGGCGCGCTCGATTGGTCCCCGAGTGCGGTTTCCGTCATAGGAACCCGTCCTTGGTCTGTAGAATGAATCCAACCGCTCCGCAACCCTCTGCGCCTCCATCAAATATGTAATTTCTCGGACTTGGTATTTCTCTGCGCAGATCCGGCCGGAGTCCCCCGATGCATTTATCGAATTTCTCGTCAGGATGAATGTAGCCGACCTAGTCGCATAGATTCTTGAAGCCGCTGGTGTAGTCCTGGACTGATCCGAGTTGGTGCCACGTGCGAAGGTGGTCGCGTGCTTGACTAGCTGCATTGACGTGTTCGAAGCGGCGACGAATTCCGCGCACCACGATTGCCACGTGCTGTACTCGTCCACCTCGCAATAACTTCCTGCCCAGTGAAGGGTCGTGCGAAAATGCCCGATAACACGCAACGTCGTATCCGACTTCTGCGACTTAATTTTCTGCTGCCACCAATCCACAGCCGGTCTACGTAGTACTGACACGGCGTATCGGTTTTTTTGCGCGTAGTCTCTGACGAAGTTGCAGTCGTAAAAGACATTTAGGTGAAAAATTCACCCCATGACGGACAAGTTGTCACACTGGCCCGGGTCGAACGTATGCAGCCTTTGCGTCTTGAGAATTCCAGGCACCATGCTGATGTTGGCAGTTTGCAGGCCGGTCGGAGGGGTAACTAGGGGCGGCAAGTTTATGTTTGTCCTTTCGCCGACTTCTGCTCATCCAATAGCCGGTGGCAGGTTGTTCGTCGAACCCACGGGCGAAGTCGCGTGTGGTCGCTGATTGTCGCCAGTTATTTCGGAACGCTGCTGGGTTAGTTGCTCATCCTGTCCTTTATTTGTCGTTGGTGCGGTCGTGTTGTGTCGTGTCTGCTGCTGTTGGCTGCGAAGTGCGGATTGTCAGAAACCCAGTCACTAACCACTGGGTTAAAAGGGCTTGTTGAATACTAATGCGCCATACCCCCAGCTCGCACCTGTGCCCTTCCCGAGATCTCAACCCCAGCGGTCACCCCCCCCCCCCCCGCTGGGATAGGTGGAAGACACGAGCGCCTCTGCAGCGCTGGCACTGGGAGTTGAACCCAAGACCTTTGGCTCTGATACCATGTCAGAAACCCAGTCACTAACCACTGGGTTAAAAGGGCTTGTTGAATAGCGGGTAAGTGCGCCCATAGCCCCCCAGGCTCTGCACCTGTGGCCCTTCCCCGAGGATCTCAAGGGCAACCCCAGCGGGTCACTCAACACGGATATCTCAAATTCGGCTTGGGCCGTTTTAGCTCGCAGATGCGCCAACTCCTGCTGGTACAACTTGTGAGTGAGACGGACTTCATCAAGTATTGCCACCCTTTCCTCACGAGTCATTCCGGTAGATGCCGACGGATCCAGCATTTCGCGGAAGTTTTGGGCGGCTTTCGGCACGCTGGCACTGCGAATACATTCGTGGCTGTACATTATTATCAATGAATATTACCCGGACAGCGGATCTGTAGTAAGCGCAGGGCGTCAGCCTCCATAAGTGTCGGTATTGCAGCCAAACTAGTGCGCAAGGCTGAGGATCGTTGGCTCTCATACCAAGTGTAATGAAGCGCAAAGAGCGTGTGTCGAAGGATTGATTAACGAGGAAACAATACAACGGAGGCAACATCAAAACTGTTGTGAAAAAATTGTACTTTATCATTTCTGTAAGTAGTTCCGATAGATATTGTCGAGTTACACTGTAGTTAGCATACGTAGAATGACGTCAGCAAATAGCGCTCGTCTGAATGATTACGTCAGCAGGTTGTTTCAGTCACGCGAACAATCGCGCTCTTTTCAGTAGCGCAAATAGTTTTGAACAAGTACATTACCGAAAAGGTACTTCTAGTAGATAGAAAAGTAGTTTGTACAACTTCAGTTATTAACTTGTTCTTGAGAAAATTCTTGTCAACACTTACAAGTTCTAAGACTTTCGTTATCTTACTAATCTACTATTCCAGCAAAGATCCTTGTTCAAGTCTTGAAGTATCACAAGGCTGTAACACTGACTCTGGTGTTACAACTTGTTAATACTGGTTGTTATTGGAGGTACTATTAAGATTATATAAGTTATACATAATTGATAGGCTTGGTAGGTGTTACTGAACCTTTATGTAGAGGGTACAATCCCCTCCTTGTACCCCTCTCTCTTCCTAATCGAACACCTTCTTTCTCGACATTCGCTACCTCCTAGATCTTCTCACGCTATTCCATGGCGGCCTTCCTAGTATCCTAGCTAAGCTAGCTTCATAAGTCTAAGAAGCTAGTGTCTTAAGTTTCTAAGATGGTATCAGAGCCGGTCGTTTCCACCAGGCCCGCTCCCTATGCTTCCGCCGTGCCTCTCCCTCGTTGTTGCCAAGCTGCCGTCGCGGCCATGTGTAACCGTCGTCGTGGCCCCAGCGCGTAACGTCGACGTCCCGCTGTGGCATCGACGCCGCACTGTGGCGACGTCATAATGGTGCGGCGGCGGCGTCTTCCGTCTGCGGCCGGCCAAGCAACGTCGTTGGCGCCGCCGGACCTGCCGCCCGCTCGCCAGCCACGGGCGTCACTCAGACGCCGTCCTCCCGCCAGTAATCGCCGCGCCATTTATGGCGCGTCGCTGAAGACTCGCCACCGCCCCCCCCTCCCCAATTCTCCCTCCCCCCTGCTTGTCCTCCTGCTCCTGTTGCAGCTGCTGACTCCTGCCCGGTCGTCGCCGGGCCGTGACACACCGCCGAGAGCCCTCAGCCGCGGCCGTTGCCTTTGCTGCCTCTCGGCGGGTAGGGATGTCACCACGTCACGAACGAGGGGTAGATGCCCGGCTGCTTACGAGCATGGGGGTGTAAGGGTGTCGGGGGTGTGTGGTGTGTTGGGTGGGTGTGTGACTACCAAGCCTAGGGGGTGTGTTAAGATTATATAAGTTATATATAATTGATAGGCTTGGTAGTTGTTACTGAACCTTTCTGTAGAGGGTACAATCCCCTCCTTGTACCCCTCTCTCTTCCTAATCGAACACCTTCTTTCTCGACATTCGCTACCTCCTAGATCTTCTCCCGCTATTCCATGGCGG